CAGGCTCACACAGGCAAACCCTGGGCTTGAGGAGCTCTATATTTTTGTTTGTTTTTGGCTCCAGGTGCTAACGGCTGTGAGCTTATCTCTGTTCCCACTACAGATCACTGCTTATCAGTGGCTATACACCTTGGAAGGTGGAAGGGGCAATTGAGAAGACTCACTATCCATTGCCTTCAGAATCAAAGCAGGTCAGGGGAAGTGGTGTGTGTGTGTGTGTGCTCACATGTCTATCTGTTAGTGACAGAAACCTTGGCTCCAGAGGCTGGTGTCAATGTATGGAACATGTGGCCAGGTTTCTTCATGGTCTGGGGCACAGGCCGGATGAGGAGCTCAGCATGGTATGGGTACCACACACACTTTAGCCTCAGGGAAGCAAGATGGAAGACTCCTGTGCAGAGCTGGGAAGCCATTCTCGTCTTCCAGCTCCCCACTGCTTGATGTGACTTATTCCTCCTGAAACTTTTTTTTTTTTTTTTGAGTTAGAAAAACTCATGAGGGGAAGCAGGGTGCAGAGCGGAGCTCAGCTCATCAGAGGGGCTGCCCACACCCGATGAGTCACTCATAATGGTCTCTCGGATGTCATTTTCTTGCTAAGACATCAGGAAAATGTTCTGCTCCTGAATTGAAAGCAAACACTGTAATTCAACAGTCTTTTCTTGAGTTATTCAAGGACCATAAACGCATCCGAAGTGGAGGATCGCGGTGGATGAAACCCATGAACGCTAAGAGCACTGTTTCGCTCCATATTCAATTTCATTTGCCGAGTGGGAGTCAGGAGTCCCATCTGACCCCAGGGGACAGCTCCTGGGGGGGAAGTCTGAAAGCGGCTGATTGGGGGCTTCTGTGTGACACTGGCGTTTTCTTATCTCCTTGGTTCCATTCCCATAATAGACCCCAGAGTCATCCAGGAAAAGGCTTGCTACAACCATTTTCTTGTGGCCTGCTGATTGTGACAGCCTGAAGGGGAAGGTGTTGCCTGGGAAGGGCTGACTGTCCCTGTTTAGGAATCTCAGTGCCTCTGCTTGCTGTCCCACCTTGAATGCTAAAAAGATCCCCTGCTTCTTCCCTGTGTGACCCCCACAGCAACATCAGGTAAAGCTATGCACTTGAATTCAGCCATTGCTAACCTGCCCTTGCCATATCCCTTCCCAGGGGCCAGAGAATGACTTTGTCATTCATCACAGAGGGCCACCCTTTATCACTTGCTACAGTTCAGGGCTAAGGGGTCACTTTCAGACTGGCAAGAGCTGAGACCTGAGGGTGATGCTGTCCTCTCTGGGGACACTGCTCATCTGCATCTTGAACAGGGCAGTTGTCACATAATCACCCCATGACTGGCATATAACAAAGTGGCAATGGAAAGCTGTCTTCCTGGGGGACCAGGCACCCTCCTGCACAAGGAGTCGATGTAAGACACTATGATCTTCGAAAGTTCTATGTGTGTGTTCCTATCCCTGGCAGTGTAACTCAGCACTCTTGACCCCCGAGCATCAGGGATGGCCAGGAGGCGGCATCCACCGGGGGTATCCACTCCGACAGCTGCATCCCGACCTCCATGGACACCTCAGAGGTGTCGAGGTCAATCTCACTGCACTAACTTCTCCAGTGAGACTTGTGACTTTGAGACAGTTAATCTCCTTCCTGGCCAGGAAGGAGACGGCCCCTCTCAGGGGCTCCCTGGGTAGCTGCCAGCCCTCTCCTGCCCGGCATCTTCCCTTTCCCTGGCCTCCCTACAGCCCAGCATCCAAAGCTGAGCACTGGGCCGAGACTGAATAAACACTGCTGATGATACAGGAACGAAGCAAACAAGACCTCTCTTTTTGCCAACTGCCCCATTAACAGAAAAGCCTTTTAAGGGACCATCTGGAAGCCAGGCTTTCCCCTCCCTAAGCAAACCGAGATGACCAAGAGGAGTGTGCTCAAGAGAGGGCCGCTCAAGGGGTACCCAAGCACACTGGGTCCTGGTCATACAGTGAAGAATGAACACAGGGAGATCAAAAAGGGTTGTTGGAGCCAGCCCTGAGGTCCACACAGCAAGGCAGCCACATGGACCCCTTTCAAGGCTCCTGCTCAGAGGCCAGGGCCACCACGGACATGACTTCCCACAATAGCTCACTGTGGCTGGCTGTTCCCCACCCAGCTGCGCCCGATAGCCAAGTTTCTTGGAACACTTTCCACTTTCAGCTTAGACCACCTCTCAGCGGGTGGAGGAAAGCAGCCTTGAGCACAGTGTTTCTGCATACCATGACAAGGGCGCACTCCTGAATGAACACATTATGGGCTTTAAGGAAACCTGCCATTCTCAGACGGGCTGCTCAAACCCACCCAGCTGTTCGTGATCACTCGGCAAACACTGTCGAGCTGTTGTGTATCCAACAACATGGGGTCTCAAAGCTGATATGAGACCAGCAGCCCCTGGCTGGTCAGACGATAAGGAGTGCATCTGAGTAAAGCATTTGAGTAATTAGCAAACAGCTGTCCATGGCCACTGCACACTTCTAGTCCTAAGGATGTGAGAGCCTTGGAGGGCAAAGCAGCTGCCTCAGCCATCAGGCTCCCAAAGACAAGGGAGCCATTAAGAGAGAAGAAAGAGAGCGGCTAGGGGGTGTGCTGGCTTCTGAATAGACCCTCTATGCACACGTATTTAATGAACTATATTTTTAGGTTGATTTTGTGATGGGGGACACAGCCACAGGACATGTGTGGACATGTGGACATGTGGACACCGGAGGACAATCTGTGGGAGCTGGCTCTGTCCTCCTAGCATTTGAGGCCCTGGGGATTGAGTTCAATTGTTGATCTTCATGGACGGAGCCTTCGACTGCCCATCCACCTCCCTGGCTCTTATGCCTTTTGAGACAGGATCTCACTATGTGACAGCCCAGGCTGCTCAGCCTCTAACTTGTGGTAACCCTCCTGCTTTAACTTCCCCAGTCGATGGGATGACAAGGTGTGTGTCAACACACCAAACTTGTGTGCAATTTTTCTTTCATTTCCCCCTTTTCATGTGTATGTGTATGGGGGGGGGTGCATTTGTGTGTTTGCCTGTTTTCCTGTGCATGGGTGCACATGTGTGTACATGCATGTGGAGGCCTGGTTCTAATTTCAGGAACCTTTCTCTATTGTTCTACCTTATTGTTTGAGACAGGGTCTCTCAGTCTAACCCAGAGTTTACCAGTCGATCTGGCCTTCCTAGCCAGCTTGCTCTGGAATTACAAAGATGGAATTTCCACACCCACTTAGACTTCCATGAAGTCTGGGGATGTGAGCTCTGGTCCTCTTGTGTACCTAACTGTAACTGCTGAACAGTCTGAACAGTCTCCCAATCCCCCATGATTGTTAATGTGTGAAAGACACTGAGAAACACATATGCACTTTTACCTCCCAAGTTTGCACGTTCTCCTTATCTCTGGGGAGTGGAGAGGGCAGATTGAGACAGGAACGTCTGAGAATCGTGTGGCCGTTCACACTGTGAAGCAGGCTCCGGGGCTGTAGGAGTGAAGCTTGCACTGGCTTTGCAGAGAGCCCTGTCTTCAGCATTGTCTTATGGGTTTGCTCAGCACCCCGCACATTGTCACTTGAGTGGTCGGCTCTGTATGTGCTCCCTGGTGGAGTGTCTCCTGCCACTCACGGACCGCTACACCACAGTCAAAGCCAAGACAGGATGCGGACGTGATATTCCTTCCCATACTCACAGTCCACATTTGGATTTTGTTGGCAAAGCCCAAGTTCTCCCACCACAGTTCTCTGTCTGTGAGCTGTGGGATTCCTCTGGGGATGGGCACCTTGGTCAGAATGTAGAGCTGTGTACTTGACCTGGCCCTCTAGACAAGGTCTTTCCCAGGCTTCTCCTTGGCCCAGAGCCCAGGCCTCTCCATGGGCTGATTTAAATCCTGTGGAAGGGGCTATTGTCCTGTGTCTCCCTCATGAGTTGCCGTCCTGTGCACTGGGAGCCCTGTCGAGCTTAAAGCAAGTTCCTCAGAGATACCCCTGCACAGGCCCTTGGTTTATCCCCATCAATGTCACTGCTCTAAAGTAGGCAGGCAGCAGGCCATGAATGTCTAGCCTTAAATCCAGCATCCTCGTCCCTTGGGTCCACACCCTATGAGATGGCTTCTTGGGTGTGTCACAGCATCAGGTTCCTGAGGGTCTATCTCTGGAAAACAAACGATTTTGAGACTAGGTAGCCCTGGCTGGCCTTGAACTCACTATGTAGCCAAGGATGATCCTCTTGCCTCCACTTCCATGTGCTAGGATTATAGACAAGCACCACAACGCCTGGCTTATGCGGGGCTGGGGATCTATCCTGGTGCTTTATGTACACCAGGCAAGCCCTCTACCAAACTGACCCACAGCCCAGCTCTGTATTTTCTCTCTTAATGGTGACACATTCCTGTTTAGAAGATTTATTTTACTTGTAACTGTGTGTGCATGTGTGTGTGTGTCTGGGGAGAAGGGATATGTGCACACGAAAGTGCAAATGCCCCCAGAAGCTGAAGCTTGGATTCTCCGGAGCTGGAGTTGCAAGTAGTTGAGAGCTGTCTGACCTGGGTGCTGGGAACCAAACTCCAGTCCTCGCAAGAGCAGAACTCGCTCTCAACTGCCGAGCCTTCTCTCTAGCCCTGTTCAGCCATCACCCATGGATGTCACCCATAACTCATGGATGACAGTGACATCACCATGGCCCTGTTGAGACCAGGCCTGTGAGAGGGGCCAGCTCTGGGTTCCACACAGAGGAAGCCTCAGTCAGACTCATATCTAGGAAATGACTGGGCAGAGCTCAGGACAGACAAGCACCCCTCTTACCATGACTGTGGAAAACAGGGGAGTCCTAGGGTGGGGCCTTCAGCCAGACACATCCTTAGGCCAATTGGGAGAGCAGCTGGGTGGGCTGGTCCCACTGGGGCCATGAAAGAAACTGCAAGGCCCAGCTCACACTGACAGTTCAGGTTCTCCCAGACTCTGAGACCTAACTAATCCTTGGGTTCAAGGCTAGGATGCGAGAAATCGTGCACATTCAGATTGGCCAGTGTGGCAACCAGATCGGAGCCAAGGTAGGTAACGCCGGAGCAGTTTGTCACAGGTGGCAGCCAAGCCACAGATGCCCAGGTTCCGGGCAGGAGAAGGCCTTACTAAACACTTGCTAAATAGACAGTTTATTAAACAAGGTCTTTTAGCAAAACCATTAGAGTTAGAGTGTTAATTAATGTTAATTTTGCCTGTAATTATGTGGAAATGGGTACAGGAGCCATTTTGCTTTCAGCATTTTAAAAATGAGCTTTCCACATCTAAAGCCAGTAATTTGTTTCAAGAGTTTTCTGAAGCTTTTTGGAATCTTTAATTTAAATTGTGTTTATTATAATTTGTGTGTGTGTGTATGTGTGTGGTATGTGTGATATGTGTGTCTGATGTGTGTGTGTGTGTGTGTGTCTGATGTGTGTGTGTGTGTGTGTGTGGTGTGTGTTTATGTGTATTTGTGTGGTATGTATGTGTGTGTGTGTGTGGTATGTATGTGTGTGGTATGTATGTGTATGTGTGTGCAGGCATGGTGCTCCAACATGCATGTAGATGTCAGAGGACAGTTTTCTCAGTTGCTCCTCTCCTTCCACTGTGGCCCCAAGATCAAATTCAGGTCATTAGGTTTGACAGCCAGCTCATTTACCTGGTGAGCCTTCTACAAAGTAGTACTTTAAAATGTTCTTTAAAAAAAATGAATTGTTTATTTGGAAGGGTGGGTGTATGGTGCTGTGCCCCTGTGATGGCCAGAGCACAGCCAGCTGGAGCCGGTTCTCCCTTTTTGTCAGGGGGGTCTTTAATCTTGGTGTCAAGACTCATCATCCTGCTGAGCCACCTGGCCAGCCTTCCTGGAAGGGTCTCTGTTTATGTTAACACCATTGTGCCTTCCACCTCCAGAATGTCCTTTCCAAAATTCATCCTTCAGCAACTTTAAAATTTAATTAATTAATTAGTTTAATTTGGATTTTCAAGACAGGGTTTCTCTGTATAGCCTTGGTTGTCCTGGAACTCACTCTGTAGACAAGGCTGGATTCAAACTGAGAGAATCACCTGCCTCTGCCTCCTGAGTGCTGGGATTAAAGGTGTGCCACTATGGCCTGGATTATTCTTAGGCAATTCTGTGCATGTATATATTGATCAGCTCCACCCTACCTACCTATTACTGTCACTAGACACTCTAATACAGCCATCTCCTCCTCCTCTTCCTCTCTCTCTCTCTCTCTCTCTCTCTCTCTCTCTCTCTCTCACACACACACACACACACACACACACACACACACAGTTTTATACCCACTGAGTTGAGTCAGTGCTGTTTGCTGGGCTGCTAATGAATCTTGGCTTGATTTCCTACAGGTAATCATACATTCTGGAAATTTTAGTGCAATGGTCATGCTATGTCTGGAAGACATTCTCCCAGTTCCCTTTTCCACCCTCTGGCTCTTACATTTCTTTCTGCCCCTTCTTCCTCAATGTTCTCTGAGTTGTCGTGGGTAGGGTGGGATCTATGATTATGTTTCAAAGAAAAATTAGTGTGCAATGGAAGATTAAAGAGGCAACCACAGAGATGAGTAATTAAAACATTCTGGTATGTAAATGAGTTTTCCTCTCAACCCTTCCTTCCTCCTGTTGCCATTCTGAGTGAGGCTCTTGACTCCCTGGGGACACCAGGAAGGCAGGCTCCAGAGGTCAGGATTGACCTCACTTTAAGACCAACAACAGATCTGCAGCACCAACGGAGAGAGCTCCCTGTTACTTTGGAATTACTTTCATGTGTATAATTTATGGGCTTAAAAACACCGCCAAGAAAGACAGTGTTTCTTCATAGCAGTACCACTATCAATAGGCAAAGGGTGGGACCACCAAGATGGCCCAGTGGGTAGAGATGCTTGCTGCCGAGCCTAAGGACTTGAGTTCAGTCAACACCCATGTGGTGAAAAGAGAGAACATCTCTACAAGCCACACTCCACTGTGTGCTATGGCACGTGTGTGCTGCTCCCCCCACCAAAACACACAAATAAATACATATATAAAGTGCATTGTAAAAGTGGGGGGACCCAAATATCTACAGGAATCCACCTGAGTTAAGAGTAGATGAACCTGGTGTGTTCTATTCATTATTCTACCATTTTAATAGAATGAAATCTTACAGAGCTTTAAAAAGAAATTCAAAAGCTTTTGGATGTGGTAAGATGGATGCTGTGAAGTTTTTCCTACTTTGTCATTTTTTTTTTTGCACACAAATTCAGCAGCACTGAGTATACTGTGTAGCCCACCTTCAAAATACCTTTCTCAAACAAACAAACAAACAAACAAAAACAACAAAAAATCTTTCAGCTTACAAAATGGAAACTCCTCTTCTGTCACTCCCTTCCCTGTCAGCCGCCACTCCACCCCAGGTCCTTGTGTGTGTCTGCCCTTCTTGACACCTGGAGTAGATCCATGTGATAGTAGGATTGGGTCCCCTTCATTTTGAGCTGAGCAAGACCCTACTGTGTGTATGGACCACGTGGTGTTTATCCGAGGGATGGGCGTTGGGTGTCTGCTGTATGGACGCAGCTGTGGAAAACTGATTTTTCTGATTTTCTCTATCTCCCTTCACCTTTTTACTCAGCTCTGTATTGTATCTTGAGTATCTTCCTCCACTCCCGCCTACCTATCCCTTTTGTTCCCCTCGCCAGTTTCACGTCGGCTTTATCTTATGTATACATTCATGCTTTTATATGACTATATAAACTCCAAGACACATGGATGAGAGAAAACGCGTAAGATTTGTCTTTTGGAGACTGGTTTAGTCCTCCTGATATAATGGTCTCCAATCTCTACCATTTTCTAGAAAATGACAAAACTTTGTTTCTTTGTGGCTGAAAAAAAAAATAATCCCAGTGTACATAGTTACATTTGCTTTAATCCAGCACTTTCCTCAGGGACTGTCAATTTGGTTCCATTTCTTAGCTGCTGTGAACAGTGTCCCACAGTCTACAAGGATGTGCACATGTCTGTGTGTTGTGTTGACTCGGAGGCCTCCGAGTGAAGGAACACCTAGGAAAGCTAGAGCTGGGTTGCCTTTAACCGAAGGCCTTGGAGCCCTGAGGCAAACACTACCAAGGCCTGACAAACATCAATCATGCTCACATGCCTCAAGAATCAGACCTTCATAACGAACAGAGAAGCGGGGTGGGGAGGAGTCAGGGAGTCGGCTCTGACCTTAGATGATAAGGTGGAGAGAGGCCCTGGGAGGAAGTGAGGGGAAGGATAGGCTCATCAGCTGGAGCTGCCTTCGGGATTGTGCCATCTGGTGGCTGGAGTCCTGGCCATGACTTCTTGTCGGGCCTATATGAATGTTAAGAAACATTCTAGAGTAGACACCCACAGCTGAGCACTGAGCAGTACTCCTGGATTCCAATGGTAGAGAGGGAGGAGGGAAGACCATGCTGGGGACACCACAGACACAGCTGAGCTGAGCAAGTGAGAGCTCACGGACAGCTGGGGAACCAACGTTGGACTGAGCCAGTTGCAAGGCCTGGGCAGTCTATGGGATCTCTGACAGTGGAACCAGTGTTTATCCCTAGTGTACAAATGGACTTTGGGAGCCCACTCCCTGTGGAGGAATACTCTCTCAGCTCAGATACACGGAGGAGGGCCTAGGCCCGCCCCAAAATGATGTGACAGACTTTGACGAACCCCCATGGAAGGCCTCACCCTCCCTGGGTAGTGGATGCGAGGTGAGATGGCGGGGTCTGTGGGGAGCATGGGAGGATGATAGGGAGAGGGAACTAGGATTGATACGTAAAATAAAAATATATATATATATATATATATATATATATATATCAATCACACACACACACACACACACACACACACACACACACGTATATACACATTCTAGCCTGAAGAGATGGCTTAACTGGTGAAGTTCACCCGTTTAGATCCCAAACACCCCCGTGTGTAAAATCCCAGGCTCCGGGGAGGCAGAGGCAGGCAGCTTCTTGGAGCCTGATCAAAACCAATGAGCTCCAATTCAGTGAACAGCCCTGTCTTTAAAAGTAAGGTCAAGAGTGAGGGAGCCACCAGACCTCTGCCCTTCACATACATGTCCAAGCAGGTCCACGTGGCCCCCAGGCACACGCATGCGCTCTCATGAACACATGCGCACAGCCCTAAGACACATTTCGCCTGCACTTCTTCACTTCCTCTCCCACTCATCATTAAGAGTGTGGCCGGGGCGGAGGAGCCGCTGACAAAGTAGGCTTGGGAAAACAAATACCCTTGGAGATTTGGGCTCAAGGGAAGGTGTTTTTATTGCGCTTTAATATGAGAGCTCTTCAGAATGGCCTAATGAGACCGTCCCAGTAATAAATACATGACCTTCCCTGTGTTATAAATGCTGTGGCCTGGCAAAGGTGCTTGCCGCCAAGCCTGATGGCCTGAGTTCAATCCCCAGGGCCCACACAGTAGAGAAAATTGACTACTACTGATTGCTTTTGCACACACTAACAAACATACATGCACAATGAATGAATGAATGAATGAAAGTAACAAAGTGCTTTTCTCAGCAGGGTGTGATGGTGCACACCTCTAATCCCAGCACTTAGGAGGCAAAGGCAGGCAGATCTCTGTGAGTTTGAGGCCAGTCTGGTCTACAGAGAAAGACTGCATCTCAAATGCTGGATGCATGATTGGGAACATAGAATGTTCCAAAGAGTTCCAAGACATCAGCTATGCATAAATCTGAATTGTGAGTATGTCTGGTGGTCAAAGCATGCATTTTGTCAGGTTGTGCAGGAGGGCCCTGGTTACAGGCTTCTGAGGTGGAGTTCATGAAGAAAAAAAAAATCCCCAGAGTGAAAGGAGATGCCATTGTGAAATCAAATAAGAATCCGGTTTGTTTTCATTTCCTGGGATCAGCCCTTCTCCACCTCAGACCAAGACAAGGTGAAATTGGAGCTCTCTCATCTGAAGTGAGATTCTAAAAGGACCAGCTATAACGCACCGGGTTAATAGCAAAATCCAATTTAATGTTTTATGTGTTTGACATTTTGCTTCAGGAGTTCAGATGGCTCTAAACACAGCCTCCATAGCCACACTTAGTGGAGGCAAGAAGAGGAAGGAAGTGTTGGGCTGAGTCAGGCAGCCCCCAGGGCAGCCACACCCTCATGGGAGCCATCCCACCCCTTCTATTATTTTTTTCTTATAACATCTATTTATTCGTTTATTTATTTGTGTGTATGCGTGTGTGTGTGTGTGTGTGTGTGTGTGTGTGTGTGTGTGTGTGTGTGTGTGTGCATGTAAGAGAGAGCACACATGATACGGTATGCACATGGTAGTCAGAGGAAAATTGTAGTAGTTAGCTCTCTCCTTCTACCAGGTGGGGTCCCAGGGTTTGAACTCAGGTCGTCAGGCTTGGTGGCAAGCCCCTTTAGTGGCTGACCTGCTGAGTGCTCCCCAATGGCTCTTCCTTCCCGGGGTTTCAGAACGGATTTCTCTCCTGTTCGCAGTTCTGGGAGGTGATTGGAGAGGAACACGGCATTGACTGTGCCGGGAGCAACAGCGCGGCCTCAGCGCTGCAGCTGGAGAGGATCAACGTGTACTACAACGAAGCCTACGGTAGGGCTGGCTGCTGGGTCAGCAGCAGCAGGCACAGAAAATGACCCCCGAGTGAAAGAGTAAAGTCCCAACCTGGAACTGGTGACAGGCCAGGCTGCAGAGTCTGCATAGCGGGTGCCTCACTCCCGTGCAAGGGGCAGAACGGGATGCAGTCACCATGCTAGCCTGTCATTCCCTCAGGAAGGGTGAGAACCCTTGTTCTTGGAGAAGCAATGAATCAAACTCACAGTAATGAGACAAGCGGAGTTTTAAAAGGGTGTTTCTACAGATCTGTGTCTTGGTAGTCTGGGTCAGGTATGACCAGGTATAGATATTAAAATCTTGTCTGCCTACCGAAGGCCACCTTCTAGAATACTCATGGTCTTTGGATCAGTGTCGCAAGGATCCATTTTGAGGACACATCAACTTTTTTTAAAAAAAGCAACGAAATGCTGAACCGAGCCTATTAATCTCCCCCCAGGCAAGAAGTATGTGCCCCGAGCCGTCCTTGTGGACCTGGAACCCGGGACAATGGACAGCATCCGCTCCAGCAGACTGGGAGCCCTCTTCCAACCGGACAGCTTTGTTCACGGTAGGCTTCCCCCCCCCCGCCCCCCAGAAGCTTCTACGGGGAGAGCCGAGGATGCCTTCTGGTGGTTCCCTGCTCACCCGGCCCCTCCCATTCTTCTCCTGGTCACAGGTAACTCAGGAGCTGGTAACAACTGGGCCAAGGGCCACTACACAGAGGGAGCCGAGCTGATCGAGAGCGCCATGGACGTGGTGAGGAGCCAAAGCGAGAGCTGCGACTGCCTGCAGGGTTTCCAGATCGTGCACTCTCTGGGCGGGGGCACTGGCTCCGGCATGGGCACCTTGCTCATGAACAAGATCAGGGAGGAATACCCAGACCGGATCCTGAATTCCTTTAGCGTCATGCCGTCCCCCAAGGTGTCGGACACGGTGGTCGAGCCCTACAACGCCGTGCTGTCCATCCACCAGCTGATCCAGAACGCAGACGCCTCTTTCTGCATCGACAACGAGGCCCTCTATGACATCTGCTTCCGCACCCTGAGGCTGACGACGCCCACCTACGGGGATCTCAACCACCTGGTGTCGCTGACCATGAGTGGCATCACTACCTCACTGCGCTTCCCGGGCCAGCTCAACGCAGACCTGCGCAAGCTGGCCGTGAACATGGTGCCCTTCCCTCGCCTCCACTTCTTCATGCCTGGCTTCGCTCCACTCACGGCCCAGGGCAGCCAGCAGTACCGAGCCCTCTCGGTGGCTGAGCTCACCCAACAGATGTTTGATGCTCGCAACATCATGGCTGCTTGTGACCCTCGCCGCGGCCGCTACCTGACCGTGGCCTGCATCTTCCGGGGCAAGATGTCCACTAAGGAAGTAGACCAGCAGCTGCTCTCTGTGCAGACAAGAAACAGCAACTGCTTCGTGGAATGGATTCCCAACAATGTCAAGGTGGCCGTGTGCGACATCCCACCCCGGGGGCTGAACATGGCGGCTACCTTCCTGGGTAACAATACAGCCATCCAGGAGCTCTTCACCAGGGTCTCGGAGCACTTCTCAGCCATGTTCAGAAGGAAGGCTTTCGTGCACTGGTACACCAGCGAAGGCATGGACATAGGTGAATTTGGGGAAGCCGAGAGTGACATCCATGACCTGGTGTCTGAGTACCAACAATTTCAAGATGTCAAAGCAGGGCTGGACGGCAGTGAAGAGGGCAGGGAGGAGGAGGAGGAGGCAGAGATGGAGGCAGAAGATACTCAACAGTAGCCAGGAGAGAAGCTATAGGGCAGCCATTTCCAGAAATCTCTCTAAGATCTGTGGCTGTCCTGAAGCCCTGGGAGCCCGCCCTCACCTTGGCACAGCCAAAGGGGTGGGCCTATGGGCATATGTGGTGGTAATGGCTGTCCATAGTTACTAGCTAGGGCTTAACAGCCAATGCATGGTTTTTCTTTTTTCTTTTTCTTCTTCTTAAATAGCAAGTGAATTTACTGTAGTGAGCCCCATTTACTTTTGACTAACTGTAGGTAGGCATCCGGATGAAGTGTATGAGTTTGCCAGGAGTCCTTTGCAGCAGCTGGGCCCTCTTCAACCCTTTGGCGGCATTGGTGGGTACCCAATAACTAGGGCAGCTAAGATGCCTCACTGAGTCCTCTTTAACAAAGCCAGCAAAGCCAGGTGTCTGAAGAGTGTGGGAGGCTCAGGGCCAAGGCAAGTGTGAGTCCGCCTCCATGATTGCACTGTGTAGACCTTATGTACCGTTTGACAGGCTGACTGGAAAAAGACAAAGGGAAGCCATGTCTCTCCTCTCAGCTCCCACCGTCCAAAAGACTAGCAAAAGCAAAGCATTTCAGTCCTCGGACCTTTGTTTCCCAGTAACGGGCTTCCAACATATTTCTCTGGGTTTTAAGTTTCTTATTAGCACTAGATGCCAATAGTTCACTAATGAGGGTCCTTGGTTTTTCTCTTAAAGGCTGTTTGTAGATGCCCTTTTCATTTTCCCTCAGCAATCACCCCTGAAGCTCCCTCCCGTACAGCCTCCTCATTCTCTGGGAAAGGGCTTGGCATGCTCAGCAACCATTTGAATGCAGGAGCGTAGCTGCAATGCCGCAGTGTCCTCCTTGGTGACAGAGGACATGGTCTCATTAGGGAACTTTTAGTTTAGATTAATTTGCAAAGGCTGCCATGGCTGACAGAGCTTTAACCATTGCACGGTTGCAGCCTCGCATCCCAACAGGACTGAACACACAGGAGACAAATCATCCATCCGCAGCCTCCTAGGTCTGAGGTGCATGGGTCTTTCTTTAATGGCCTGCTGGAGTCCTTGAGGGTCTCTGTGACCTCTCCAAAGGGAGTTATTTGCATGAAACTGGCTTCTAGTGTCTGGGTTTGTCCCTGAGGGACAAACTAGGGATGGAACCCAGGGCTTTGGGGTATGCTAGGCAGTGCTTTGTCACCAGCTACTCCCTCGGACCTTTTTACAATCAATAATAAAGTGGTGGGTGGATGGAGCTGTCTTCATATATGCACTGTGAGGAAATAATTACAACTCATATCTAGAGAAAAATCAGGCCCCATTATTGGTGTGACTGGCCAGGCTCATATATATATATATAGTATTTTAAATGCTTTCCACATTTGTATAAACTGAGAAGCATTAGCATGAGATCTGTGCCTCTCCACTCTTGGATGCTAACCGAGCTGCACGCTTACCTGGGTACTTTCATTCTGAACCTCAAAAGGCAATTACACAGATGCAAGAAAGAGACTCACATTCTTTCTAAAATGTTCATGACTGAAGACTTGTTCACTAATAATCATTAAAGTGCAAATAAATCCCATTTTAAATGACTAAACCATCGTGTCTCTGACTTAGCAAACTCCTTTTCTTGGGAGTCTGACCATTCAGACTGATGTGTCTCACCTCCTAACTGTTCTAATGGCACAAGTGGACTAAACCACCAACTGACTAAAAGCCCAGGGATACTTGGTCCCTTCAGTGTTATGGTTGCCATGGATACACTGGTGTAGCTGAAACCAACAGAGTCCTAAGATTTCAAAGATCCCTTTGCTCTGTCTCACGGCGCCACTGGTTAGTAACAGGCCAATAGTAGCTGGCTGAGGACCTCATTACTTGACAAGCTGTCCTGTGTCACCCTGAGGTGCTGGCCTGTGTTTATTTCATCCCAGTGTTGACTCTTTAATCTTATTAGATCAGAGTCTCAGAACTTTTGATGGACTGTCAATTCTCAGACTCTCAGAATCTTTGATGGACTGTCAACTCTTATTTGGTAACTTTAACCCAGTGGTTCCCCTACTAAGTGATTTCCAAAGCTGGAAATCCTTTAGCCCTTTGCTTATTAGTTATCATAGTTGTCCTATGGCCTGTGAGTCAGCTGTTTCCATTCCTGGTAATGGGAGATGCTTCTTGGGACATCAATCTTGGAGAAGGTGGTATGGAGTTGCAACTTCCTAACAACAGAACTTCAACCCCAGGCAGATTCTAGTGCTCCTACCCTTTCAGAGACACTACTGTCCCATTAAATCTGCTCTCTCTCCTTGAGCACCCTGTGCAGAGAATCTAATAAAACCCATAGGTCAAGTGTATTGAGGACATGGAGCAGCCCCCAGGAGCCAAGAGCAAAGATGCTTTCGTTGTCTTCAGCCTCATGTGAGCTGAAGCATGGATCGTGGTTGCTTTTCTGCTCTCCAGAAAGTTACAAGCAGTGGCTCTACTTACAGCCAAGAGTGTCCATGTTATAATAAAGTCAAAAACAAATCACTTTGTTCCTAAACATTTAAGTAAAAAATGAATGGCCATTCAAATATCATCAGACTGTCCTATTTACTGCGCCCAGACTGGTTAAGAATCACAGGTTTTAATTGCATCAACACAGGACACAAGGTATTGACTGGCTCTGCCTCATTGCCGGTGAGAAATGCACCCAGAAAATAATAAAAGGTGAAAGGCATTTTGTCTAGATAAAGTCTAATGTTAATGGCTCCTCTCAACAGTTGTGTGTGAACCAAGATGAGGTATACAATTTGTTCCTCTAATGTGTGTTCTAATTGTTTTCATTTGGGTTAGGGATTAATCGGAACCACCTAGAGCCACAGCTTTAATGTGAATTCAATTCAGAGACTAGACACAACACAACCTCCATGACAGTGTCAAATTTTCATCAATTATGCCACGACAAACATATACTTGGATACATTTAAGCAGTGGTTCCTTCCAGTAGCCCCACTGGTCATCGGATCTAAGCCTCCCAGCCTTCAGAGAAACCCTGGTTCACATGGTCACACTCAACACCACTGTTACAGAAACCAAACCCAACAGAGAGTGAAGCATGTCAATTTATTCACATCATCAAATTATCAGCAAGACACATGGTCTTGTGCCCAGGAGGTGAGGTTGATTTCAATCTGCCAAAAACATAACAGGTACCCACAGCTCCATCTTCACCTTCAAGGCTCAGCAGTTCATGCTTCAGTCAGGGTCTAGGAAGAAAAAAGAAAATGCAACAGTTTCTAGTTTGCTGTGTCTTCTTCATGTCCACCATGAACAAGAGAACCTACTTGCATCAGCAATCATAAGCCTGGGCTGCCTGTGAGCACACAGCCTGCAACAGGCACGTCCTTGAGTAAATCACTTCTACCGTGACAGGAACAGCTTTGTCCTATAGCCCTCTGCCCCCATGCCAGCAGACTGGCATGTTGCAAGACATTAAATAGGGGCCATACTTTGTTTGTAGGAGCCGGACATGCCTCGTTGAGTCCAAGGCTCTGACAAAACCAGAGGAGTCAGTCACAGATGGGCACAGTGTGACTGCAAGAGGGTGAGATGTTCTCACTCAGCTCACTGTGGACAACCAACAGCCCAACATAAAGAGGTTTTATATGCCCAAATTCTGCGATTAGAAAGACCCAAGAAAAGGGGTTCAACTCAAACACTGTACTCCCTGGTTTGTAATAAACTTATTTGCTAAATTCAAGATGAAAATGAAAATTACTTAGGGGGGAGAGTCTCAATCAGGCAAATTGCTCACAGCACAGGCCTTGGAGCACGAGTGCTGGACAGACACCTTGCAGAAGCAAAAGAAATATGAAGAACATCTCTCTGATAATGTGCCACGCTTATCTCTGAAATGACAATGTAAGTAAAGTAGCTGGGAGATCAAATCAGTCTGGAGAACTGCAGTCTGAACTCCCCGCCACAGCACAAGATTGCAACTTTATGTTCCCAACAGGGCTCACCTAGGGCTGGCAGCCCTTCTTGCTTGATAAAACAGCAAGCCCCCACCTGCAGGTGTGCCCGTATGTTCAGGAAGAAGCTATGTGTGAGGGTACCAGCAGCTATGGGGGAGGAACATGCAAGGAACCGCCACTTTTCATGCTCAAGACCCGTTACATAACTCCAATAGCAATTATGAAAGGGGAGCTTCTCCTCCCAATTATTTGATTTTGTGCAGACAGATGAACCAGGTTTAATTAAAATGAGATGGCTTTCTATCTGAGGGTTGCTAACTGCACTGAAAATCAATGTGCCAATTATTCTGCTTGTCAGCCCTGCACAGGGCCATCTTTCATCATGCCAGCAGATGTCTAAGACCAGCGCACTCTAAATCACTGCCGCACTAACCAGGGTCCACAGCCACCAACTAACCGAGAGGCAGTGTCACACTAGAGTGAGCTGTGGTAAGCTCTAAAAACTTGAAGAGGTGACCCCAACAAACCAGAGACTCACCGACTACTCCTTCTTCACCTTCACGATCTTTATGCTGCTCCCAGAAGTCTTCTCAGCGTTGGCCTTGAACTCGGTCTTCAGGGCATCCCTCACTGCCTTCGCACAGATCTGGGAGAACCGGATATAGCTGGCAAAGTGAGAGAGGATGAAAGCCTGGTTACCAACAGTGACACGGTGGTGTCACTGTGTGGGACATCTTGGTTTTCTTCCCTTACTATTAATTTTGGTTACTCACAATGGCAAAATTGGATTGAAAACTGGACAATACCAAAACTAATGATACAAAGGGGACAATGAGAAATGTGACCCCAGGTTAGCTGGTATTTTACTGAGAGGTCGTACCTTTTCAGATTAATTTAAAATGAAGGGTTAAAACAAACAAACAAACAAAAAACAAAAAAAACCCAGTGTAGGAAATAGAGCATTGTGTGAACCCCGCTCCCACATGATTGATTCCCCAGCTCATTTCTGTATGTTTTAATTACATTATTCCACTATTCTTACAGCATACATGTACATATGTGTGTGTGTGTGTATAAACATATATGAAACTTCTGAATTAAAACAGTGCTTTGTAAGGCCAAGTATCTAAAGGCGGTCCTGAAAACATTAGACTTTTGCCTTTTGTCTGTCAATACCTAACAAGGATTCCAAACTGAACTAAAAGTTCTCAGAGAGCATCAAGTACAGCCAAGGGGGCTCAGGCCAGCCAGCCAGCTTCCTGTCTGGTAGACATTGGTCTGTCAACACCTGATTCCAAAAGATGTCACTTTTCACACCTTCTGAAATCAGGGATGGGTGGTGGCTGTTTCTCCTGCTTTAGGATTGAGGTGGGGGGCTGGCACTCGGGGAGCCAGGGGTTTAACTTTTCCTTATGCACCTGCAAAGCAGCAGAATAAACTTGAGACCCGGCCTGCGGGGGCTGGGAGGAGGACGGGAGGTGACCTGACCTGGGCCCACACCGTTTCCCTCCACCAAAGCTCGCCTGACCTCTGTCAGGCCCCAGGCCTCTGACTCGGGGAAGGTCACGGTGGCCCCCGCCGGCCTCTGTGCAGGGGAGGGGAGCCCGCCCAGCCCGGGGGTGCCGTGCACTCGGCCCTCGTGGCGACCACCTCTGCTTGGCGCCCGTGACCCCTGACCCCGCGGAGAGCCTTGTCCACGGCGACGCCATCTTGGCGGGCCGC